GTATGTGAAAGAACATGATGTACTAGCCCGCTGGTGCTCACAAGTTCACCAAAAGGTAGAGCGGTACTAGTACTGGCAATCTGCTGCATATGAGAGTATTCAAGCGACAGTAACATCTCAGCAACTTGAGAACGGGGTTGGGTACACTTGAACTTAGCAGGGACCTCCTCTCCATCATCTGAGCTGTCAGGGTGCTGCTGCTGCTGTCTACAGGTTCCTATTCTGAGGCAGATTGTGTCAGTGAGTCTTCCCCTTCGCTCTCACCTGACATGCTCAGAATCCTGTAGGCCTCTTCACTAGAGTACCTTTCATTGACATTTTGGCCACTAAATTTATAGGTACCTAGTGGACAGGGAGCATCGATCATCCGACAAGTTAGGTTAGTCCTAATTCAATGAACACTGCGGTTTTGTGTGCATCAAGTGACAGGACCCTAAAATCTGGGGGAAGGGGGGGGGGGGGGGGTGCATTTTGCGCAGGTTCCTGGGCCTGTGACACTATACCAAGACACTGGTAGGGCAGGGGTTACAAGGGGTTAAATGTCTGCTGTAGTGTGCCGCTGTGTCTTTCTTCTCTCTCTGGGATAAAAGAGAGATTTCATCACTTCCTGTAGTTTACACGCAGGACAGTGACTTAGACCATCACTGGCCTAAATCGGATGCTTTTGCGCACCCGTGCCACATAGCAGTATTGCTATAGGGCGGTCGGGAAGAAGTTAACAGTTTAAGTGCTGACCCATATCAGACATGATTGCATTCAAAATACCAGCTCTAATTACTACTTTAATTAAGTTGCGAGGTTCATTACAGTGAACAATGAGAAGACATGAAAATAGCAAAAGCGATTAAGGTTTCACCTACGTACAATACAAAAACATGCAACAGCAGAGAAAACTGTAATGGAGACATACTTTTTATCAAGATACACACACACACACACCTACCTAAAAATTTATTCATCTTGAAAACATGCAAAGGCATTTTACCTAAACCTTTTTAGAATGGTAACAATTTAACAAAGATCGGCATATCCATCTCCATGTTTCTGAGGACACAATATATATTACACAGCAGGAATATCCATCCTTTTGACTTTCCTTGGCCACATTGCAAGAAGAGGAAATGTCTTGGGCCACACATAAAATACACTAACAATAAGGAAAGCGGATGAACAGAAAGTGTGGCAGATAAGTCAACAAATCAATGATTATGACAATGTTCCTATCGGAGTAATAAACCTTAATTTTTTAGAATTCTATTATAAACGTAAAAGAGTAGCAATTCTCCATTAATTCTCAAGGTGCTAAACAGATATTTTGGTTCCAATTTTGCCCTTGTGTGCTTCATCCTTAAAAATAGTTGCTCACAAATATAGATGCTGCCAAAACCTGATGACATGTATAAGGCGTAATTGTAAAACGAGGAATATTTTTCTTTGGGAAGCTAAAACTTATAAAAGTCCCGTAAAGAGACAGTCAAATTTTTCTTCGGCGTCATGGGTTTGTCAAGTGTGAATGCATTTTCACAAAAAAAGTCCTGAAAAAAATAAACATTTTTAAGCGAGTTTACAATTTTGTGTTGGGCTGCATTCATAGCTATATTGGGCTGCCAGTTAGACACCCCTGCTATACAGTATTTTGTGACTTAGGCAAAATGGCAGAGGACAACACTTTAGCAGAAATTGTATCACATTAGTTATGTCCACATATCTAGAATGCAGGCAGATTGATCCAAAACCAGGGCAAACTGATTTGCCACTCAGTAGTGCCTGAACAGTTCTGGCACAGATGCCATTAAGCAAAGCCAACAAGTGACCCTTTTGATGACCATCGATTCCTTAGCTTCGGGGAAAATATCTCTTATTTCCCTCTTTGGCTGTGGCAAGTTTGAATGCCAAAAACAGTATATGAACACCTAGCACGACAAAGACCTCGTTTTTATTGTAAATGTTGGAAACCATGCAAAATTAGGTCTTACATGTCAGCATTTGGACCAAGTGCTGAAAAATTATTTTAATGTTTATTTTATTTTAATATTTTAAAAAAATTTTATTATTTTAATGTCTTTTAATGCCCCCACCCTTTGGACTTTTTCTTTGAAGACTTGATCAGCTGACAGTTTTGAGTTTGTTGACCTATTTGTCATTATAGAATGAGTCCAGCTGAATGCGACTAATTTCAACTAGCCATACACTGACCTTGATAAATTAGGTCTTTCAGGGGACATGAATTAAAAAAATGCACATGTAGGTGCATTAGAGTTTATATACTCAAGCCAAAAAGCATGCAAAAACATTGATTACTACAAATCTACAGATGCAATTTCAGCATTGAAAGATCTATTTTGGATGGACAACTCTTTACTAACAGTACAAAGCAAAATATGCACTAACTCGGAACGATCACACATTATTCCTCATCAGTGTGGAGTAGCCAAAATACAAATAGCTTTCTGGGTACCACTGGGGACAGCAAATTGAATGAGAGAATGTGCCATTAGAACTCAGCTAAAATACATACTGATTTGGTCAAACCTTTAGAAAGTCACATCATAAAGCCCTAGATATTTTAGAAAATGTAAATCTATGGATAACCTTTTCTACAAACACGAGGAGTAGAGAGGAAATCTTTAAAATTCATGGAGCAGTGTGGTAAATCGTCATTGCTGCAGCACTTCCTATTTAATGGCCCATTTTCACAACAGTCTGTCTTCACTGGCAGTCAAATATAGTCTATTTAACACATGGGGAAGAAATAAAACTGCAGCACACTTCGAATATCAATGATGATACTCCAGATTTCCATAAAAAGCAGATAACGTTAAGCACTTTATCCGCTTTTATGCACTATGCTTTTGTGGATGTAGCTAAAAAGAACTTTTTTTGCCAGTCACGTGTCAGCTCCTGAAGTAAATAAAAAGCAAATTTTTTAATTAAAAAGGGTATACGTAATATAGGTATACATGCTACTAGATGTTTACTTAACAATTATGTTACTTTTTATGAAAAAATTACTATTAAAATGATGATTGTGTAACCAAAAAGCTTCTTTAGCCAGAATGGTCAGTAAATGAAGGGGAACTGAACTATGATCAAACAGATAATGTATAGAGCTGTACTATACGACATAACTTAATTGCAATTACAGCTGATGTTTAACACGACTGTTGATAGCTACAAATGATGATGTATTGCCAGGGCTTTAGTCAACGGGAATGCGGGGGAAAGCAGTTCCGGTATCTCCAGCACTGAATGTATGTATGCCAAGGGGTACTAGGGTCTGCTGGAGGGTCCATTAATGCTGGCTGGTGGGAGATCTATTGAGGGAGGGATCCATTGTTGTTGGGAGGAATCTATTGTTGAGGGAGGGGTCCTTTTTTGCTGGCTGCTGGATGGTCTATTAATGCTGGCTGGTCTATTGTTGCTGGAAGAAGTCTATTGTTGTGGGGTTGATTTGTTTTTGCTAGGGGGTATATTGCCCCGGGGGTCTATTGTAGCTGGGGAGATCTGTTGTTGCTGAAGGGGCATTTTGTTGCAGGGGATCTATTGCTACTTGGAGGGGCTATTGTTGCTGACTGCAGGGGATATATTTTACTGCTTTTCTTGTGATCATTAACAAATTCCATATAAACTACTTAGCACCACAAAATATTTGGTTCTGTTTTCTCTAAAAGGTGTGGTACTGGGGAGGTGGGTAATAATGTAATGCACAGATGCTGGTCAAATGATCGTATTCCTGACATCAGCAACTGTGCCACCCCACCCCAAATGTACAATTGGAAACAAGAGTTTGCTTTTTTGAGGTCTACCAAAATAAAAAAGCGCATATGCGGCCAGCACTAACATGTTCAGTTAGCCTATATTGTAATTTATATAAAATCCGTGCCACGAAAAATTTGAGGGCTGCCATTGGTAACCCCCTTCTAAAAATATTCCTTGGTTAGTTTCTCTAAGTTTGCATTGTCTTGTCATTTTATTCCAATGAGTTACTTTCTCAAGTAACCCAATGTTCTATTTTTTCTACTAAATAAAATATGTAGATCGGACATTCTGAACTCATTTTCAGTATGTTTGTCAGTGACTGAATCTAGAGAAAGCCAAACGAGAAGTATTTTGGCAAAGGCAGGGACTTTTCGTATAGTCGTGCTGCAGGACTTTTCGTATAGTGTAAAATTCGTAAAACGAACGCAGTTTCCCATAGGAATGCATTGAAAGCCAATTAATCTGTTCCGGAGGTCAGAAAAAAGTAAACTCTACTAAAATACTGCGTGAGTTATTTTATCAAGTCATGTATTTTAGTAGTGACAACCATGTGTCAATGTTTCAGCTGTCAGCGGGGTTACCCACTGACAGCTGAATGTAAAAGAATTGCCGGCAATTAAAAAAATAAACGGCATAGGGTCCCCCCTCCTATCCACACCAAGCCCTTTGGGTCTGGTATGGATTTTAAAAGGAACTGCAACGGCAAAATAAAAATTAAAAAAAAAAAAAAAAATGGCGTGGGTGTATCCCCCAAAATCCATATCAGACCCTTATCCGAGCATGCAGCCCAGTAGGTCAAGAAAGGGGGAGCCCCCTGCCCCCAACCATACCAGGCCACATGCCCACAACATAGGGGGGTGCTTTGGGGCAGGGGGGCTCCCCCCCCATGCACCTTGTCCCCATGTTGATGGGGACAAGGGCCTCTGTCCCACAACCCTGGCAGGTGGTTGTGGGGGTCTGCGGGCAGGGGCTTATCAGAATCTGGAAGCCCCCATTAACTAGTAGCCAACCGCAGATAGCCGAATGACGGCTGCACTGCGGCCGGCCAGTTCTGGGTGGACGTCATATGACGTCCTCCCAGAACGCGCTCTCCTGCGCGCCCCAGGGGGCGCGCACCCGGCGATCTCCGTGATCGCTGTGTCCTACGGACACAGCTGATCACGTGATGTGGTAAAAGGCCAAACACAGCGGCCTTTTACCACGTGATCAGCGGTGTCCAATGACACGCTGATCAGAGGGAAATGCAAGTGCCGGTTCTCGGCTGCACTTTCCTCACGCTGTCAGATCGTGAGGAAAGTACTGCCGAGAACCGGCAGTTATCAGAGCGGGGATCGGCACCGATCATCAGGGCACTGATGATCAGTGCCCTGATGATCGGTGCCCAGCAGTGACACCCGCAAGTTCCGCCCACCTGTGCCCAGCAGTGCGCCCACTAGCTCCGCCCACCCGTGCCCAGCAGTGCCCCCACCTGTGCCACTCTGCAGTGCCACATACCTGTGCCCAGCAGTGCCACTGCCCAGCAGTGCCACCCACCTGTGCCCAGCAGTGCCACCCACCTGTGCCCAGCAGTGCCACCCACCTGTGCCCAGCAGTGCCACCCACCTGTGCCCACCCACCAGTGCCCACCCACCAGTGCTGCCAGTCAGTGCCCAGGGGTTGTGCCAGTCAGTGCCGCCAGTCAGTGCCCATCAGTGATGCCAGTCAGTGCCGTCTATCAGTACCCATAATCAGTGTCACCTATCAGTGCCGCCTATCAGTGCTGCACATTAGTGCTGTCTATCAGTGCCGCCTATCCGTGCCACCTCATTAGTCAGTGCCTATCAGTGCCCTTTAGTGCTGCCTATCAGTGCCCATCAGTGCTGCCTCATCAACGCACATCAGTGAAGGAGAAAAAATACCTGTTTGAAAAATTTTATAAAAGAAACAAAGAAACTTTTTTTTTTTTTCAAATTTTTTGCACTTTTTTTTATTTATAGCGCAAAAAGTAAAGCGCCCAGTGGCGATTAAATACCACCAAAAGAAAGCTCTATTTGTGAGAAAAAAATGATCAAAATTTCATATGGGTACAATGTTGCATGACCGCGCAATTGTCAATCAAAGTGCGGCAGCGCTGAAAGCTGAAAATTGGCCTGGTAAATAAGGGGGTATAAGTGCCTGGTAGGCAAGTGGTTAACAAGGGGGGCCCCCAGATCCCACCCCCCCATGTGAATGAGTATGGGGTACATGGTACCGCTACTCAAACACAAAAAACAAAATGTGTAGTGTGAAAAAAGACAGGCCACGGTCTTTGACAAGCCCTTTATTAAAAGAAAAAATAAAAGAATGTCCCCCGCAGTAGATCCAGCGTCAATCACGACGTCCGCCGACGACCAGAAAAAATAATTTTAAAAAAACGCTCCACTTCAGACGATGGCCCCCAGCTGTCTGCCTGCTCCGATGGTTTGACAGTTCTTAAATATGTAAGGGGCGGGGCCACCCGGGGACATCACCCGGACAAAATGAAAAAAGGATGAAATCTCCTTAAAAGGGACACAGAAAGCAATAAAAACTGACATGCATGCTAGTCTCTCTGCATTCTATCAAAAAAAACATGTCTTTAGTTAAAAGCTTTAAGCAAAAAGAAAATCTTGTGACTTTGGAACTGCTTTAAATTAAACTTTTTACCTTTTCAGTTTGCTTAAGCTTACCAGAGGCTTTAACTAAAGGGATTCATAGGAAATAAACATGCTGCTTTATTTCGTACATAATCTAATGTTTGCATACAGCCAAAATACTAAGAGTAGCAGAAGTCATGGCTGAAGCCCTTAGGCTAAGAACAGAAAGTGTAATTGCACCCGCTACACCATTTACAGTAGGCACTAGCAGCTGTTCAGTTAGCCTGCCTTTACAGGTTCCAAAATGAGAAGTTTAAAGAACAACTTAAGTTTCAGACCCAAGTGTATTCAAATTACATACAGTATTCAACGTACTGATATACAATGTAAAGATAAATTTCAGTCTAAGCTTCATAATCAAGTACAGACAAATCCCATTCAACATACTCTTATTGTATACAGTGGTAAGAAAATAAAAAATCAGTCTGTTTCAGGCCCAAGTACATACAAATCTCATTAAATGTACTTACATATTAAATGTACTTTAAATGTGAAGAAGAATTTTGGTCTAATGTTCAAATCCAAGTACAGAAAATCTCAAATTTAATATACGGTATTCATATACAATAAAAAGAAGGATTTCAGTATACGTTTCAGACTCAAGTAGAGACAAATCTCACATTCAAATGTATATGTATACAATATAAAGAAACTTTCAGCCTAACTTTTTGGCCTTAAGTCTTTGCAATACAATGACAAAAGATACCAACAAAATAAAATGTTGCAAGCCATTCATATTAGAGATAAAAGCAACAAAAAGCATGCAAGCTTTAAATTAACATTTAAAAAAAATAAAATTTGTTTAGAATTTGGTACCAAATTCTGCGCACTAAAACTGAATAGCTAATGTTTGAGTGATATATTTGTAAAACAAGGCCAAAACAACATAGAATCAAAGAGATTTTACATGTTTAAATTACCAACTGCAGCATACTAGCCATCATAACTGACAGTAAGCCTCTAAGCCTTCGCTTTAGCTCATATGTTAAAGCTTTTGTTAACGTCACCATAGTAACCGTCCAAATTTACAGGGTTTATTTAGGACTAAATGGAGCACAAAGAGTCATGCATTATCCCCAAAGGTATAATCTCCATTAATCTCTCATAACCTCACATTTTTAGGACAAGGAGTAAAAATGCAAGAGAAAACGGACATATATATATATATATATATATATATATATATATATATATTACACACACACACACACATATAAAGAAAACAGTAGACAGCATGGATACTTTCTTTGGTTTTTCAGTCCCTTGTGTGAAAATGTTAACGTGCACCTAAACCCAAAAATAGAAACGTAATATATTACAGCTCTCCAGCCCTTGATAAGCTGCAATTGATCTGGGGGGCTCAGTTTCAGGCTTTATTCCATTACTTCCAACTGATATTAATGTACTTCCCATCCTAGGGTGGCAAAACCTGCTATATCTGGAATCAGTGTAGTACTACTGAAATGTCCTTTCTTCCTCCATACAATGAATGGGTAAGGTTTTATAGTACTAAAAACTATGCATGTACCCGATATAAATGTAGAACAGGCAGGGAGCACAGGACGTCATACACTGGCAAGATTTCTGTCAAGACCAATGGTTATTCTTGTACTTATCGAACAGATAAAACACCACATTTTTATTGAAATATTTAGAACAAAAAGGGGGCACAAATAAGTTAATTATTCGGGTTTTCATACAGTGTATAGCACAAAAAAGAATGTGTGGATGAGAACATTGTTCTAGTGAAAAAAAAAAAAAAAAATAGCAATACCCCATACCTTAGAAGAAAAAGGTGTTTGCCATACTACAAATGGCAATAAATACATACATAGGTATATATAGTGAGGTTAAAAAAAAACAAAACAAAACACACACACACACACACACACACACACACACACTAGTACATCCAGTTCAACCAACAAGTAAAAGATACTGAAATACCCCAATATAATCCTATACCCACAGTTGATCCAGAGAAAGGCTAAAAAAAAAAAAAAAAAAAAAAAAAAAACACACAAAAAACCATAATCCATGTTGCTACAGTGAGGAAAGAAGAAAAAAAAAAAAAAAGGAATCCTTTCTGATACCACAGGAGGCAATCAGATTTTTTTTTTTTACTGTAAAGATTTAGGATTGAGGAAAGCTCAAGGGACTTCACCAATTAGGTGAACATTTGCTTAACGGCATTTCTGCCGGCCTTTATTCCTAATAAACGTTTCCAGTGCAGGGGTTCAACGCCACACAGAATACAATGCAAAAAACATCCTCCAAGCTATTTGGACTACCAAATCAGTGTGCTACTACACCGACTTTCACAACTCACAGGCGACAGCCTGGTAAAGTTGCGTATCTTTAAGGCCAAATAGGCCAGAATATAGACATACACACTGCTATGAAGAGGACATTCCAGACAGAGTGACTGTTATTTGTGGACCAACTACCACCTGCCAAATAATTTCACACTTTGACAGGACACCTTCCAAATCAAACCAAGCTTAAAACTGAACTCCAGGTATGATCCCAATCCCATAACCACATGGGTCCAGCCCAGACCAATGCAACCACACACAACCAATGGACCACGGAAGAAGCTGACAACCACTACAGAAGAGGGTTCTCACTCGGCACAGCCACCATTTATAGATTTGCCTTGCATTTTTTTTTCAACGAATACATGGTTGCTTCATTCCACGTGTGTGATCCTAGAAGCAGAGATGGCGCGTGTGTGCGTGTCCACCTCCTTCCCGTCTGTAACTGACCACTGCTGGGCTCTCCAGGGTGGGAGTGCTGGGAAACGTCCATGGGCAGAATGGAGAGGTTTCAGCAGGGTGTGAGCTGGGTGCCGTGGGCTGTGTGTGGATCCTCAGGCTGGTAAATGTCAGACCTAGAACGTGACCTTACTGCATGTCAGGAAGGAGGGGGGGCAGGCTTACTATTACACCACGTGGGTCACCTTTATGTACACCCTGGGCATCGGCTCTCCCTCCACCCTCTGCTGACTCCTGGCACTTCTTACGGAGCATGGCCTCCTTCACTCCAGGGTAAGCAGAGTCTAGTCCAACCTTTCTGTATCATTATTAACCCCTTCCAGCATCCCCATCTCCATCCAGTAACCCCTTACTGCCCATCACCTCATCTCTATACCTTAACCCCTTATTGCACCCACCTCATCTCCATCCAGTAAGCCCTTACTGCCCACCACCGCATATCCATACATTACGCCTTCACGCCTTCTCCTCTTAGTCGCAATACATTGACCCCTTACTTAGACCCCCCCCCTCGCCATACACTGAAACCCCTTATCGTACCCCCCATCATTAATCAGTTATTGGTCCCCACACTGCATGAGTGTGAATCTAGGCTCAAGTAATAATTTTTCATTTTCTAAAACAATTGTCACATGACACTAAAAATAGGTAATCGGTAATTAATATCAGCGAGTACTTGAGAAAAAGTATTGATAGTCATGCTCAGTCTTAAAAAATTGGTATCCGTGCATCCCTACCTCTTTTTCAGGGAAAGTCTTGAAGTCTCCCATCATTTAGCTCTGCCAGGATTCCAAACCCAGAAAATTATATCAATTCATCATTTGTCCTTGACTCCTTTAAACCATATTTGTACTTTCTATTCTTCATTCTCAGCACATATTTTAAGGAGAAAGCAATCAGTGTGTACCCACTGCTATACCATTACAATATTCCTGCAGGTTTTAGACTTTGTACAATTCAGTATTAAATGTTGCCAAGAGCAATAAAGAAAAGCTATAGCACGTTTTGTCCAGTTCAGAATAACTATATCCAATAAAAGGCAGGGAAAAAGACATCTGTATTAAGGCAGAAAAGTATCAAATACGTTAACCAGATCCTTCCCGTTTTCTTTCATTCATTCAAGATATATTTGGGCTGATCAGATATTAGTCAGTGGCGGGATTCACTCTGCCTTATCCAAGGGCCAATAACTGGTAGTTTAAGTGACAATAAATTAAATCCTTGTACTAGTAATCTACACACATCCACCACTTAATGGCCCTATAACCTATTTTTCATGA